AGGCCTTTATTTAAGGATCCAGAGAAGAATTTTTTATTTTTATTTTTTTAAAGACTGACTAGAAGCTTTTGTATAAAGGAACAGTAGCAGGCAGGGTGGTTGGGTCCAGGCTTTGGAAGGAGTTTGAGTATTATTTTGTACCCAGTGATAGTTTTTGAGGAAGGAAGTAATGTTTTTCACAGATCTTTCTGTTAAATCTTTATCCTGTTTGTCATCTTTGGTACTTAGTTGTATAGAAGACTTCGTGTTTTGAGTTCTCTCTTCTCTTAGTTCTTTGCTTATCTCTAATTTCTCAGCTTTTCTGACGATTCTTTCTCTTCCAGATCCAGACTATCTAATGCTCTGTTCTTGAACCTTTATTCCTTCTTATAATCCAGCCCTTACCTTTTGGGTAATTATAACTTCTCAGTTATTCTATCCAAGTCATGCCTACATTTTTATTCATAAACTGTTAACTCTTGTTGGGTTTTTGACTACTAAGAAGATGCTTCTTTTGTATATCCCTTTTTACTTTGGCTTATTCAGGATCATGTAGCAAGAGCATTTGCTTTAAGTAGTTGTAGCAAACAGGATTTATTGAGAGAAAGAGATTGTAAACTTTGAGTGGGCTGCATGAACAGATTAGTCTGAACTTCTAGAAACAAACCCCTGAATGACACTGCAGAGCTTGCCTGCCAAGGGGGCTACTGCCACCACACCACTGAGAACCATGTTGTTGAATCAGAAAGCTGCCATCAGAACTTTAACTTCCTTGGGTAGGACTGTACTTTCTGTTCTCTGTATCTTATGCGGTATGTCTGCTCGCCCATACTTAGGTCGTACGTGAAACCTTAGCATTGCCTATATATAAAACAGGAAGTGCATGTGAGAGCTTGATTGGAGTATTGAGTCTGAAGTACATTCAGTTTGTGAGGAACTGAACTCATTTTCCCCAGATTCCCTCATTGTGACAAAGTTAAGCCTTTTCTAAGTTTTCTTTTTCAGTCCAAAGGCATGGGTATTGTTCTAGTTTTCGGAGGTAGAAACTATTGAAAACTGTATCATTTAGATTTTTTATTGCTGATATAACAGAAAACCAACTCAAATTCACTGGCTCACAATATTAAAAATTCCAAAGGTGAAGCTTGATTCGGTTATACTTGTGATCAGACTTCATCTTTCTCTTCCTTTTATTTAATGAGCTCAGCTTCCGTGGTTTTGTCCCTTTGTGTTCACGTTTGTTGCAGCTCAAGCACTACATCCTCATGCTGTCAAGTCCAGAGGAAAATATATAGGACTACTGTACAAAGAAAACTAGTTACATTAAAATATAGTTATAAAAGTATTTTAAAAAATTGTTGGTAATATCTGTTTCTTTTTTTGAGACAGGTTCTTGATCTGTTGCCTAAGCTGGAGTACAGTGGTGCTAACACGGCTCACTGCAGCCTCAACCTTGTAGGCTCAAGTAATCTTCTCAGCCTTCTAAGTAGCTGGGACCACGGGTGCACACCACAACACCCAGCTAACTTTTAAGTTTTTTATAGAGATGAGGTCTCGCCATGTTGCCCAGGCTGGTCTCAAGTTCTTGGGCTCAAGCCATCCTCCTGCCTTGGCCTCCCAAAATGCCAGGATTATAGGCATGAGCCACCATGTTCACACTGTTTCTTTATAAAAAGATTCAGTGAAGGCCAGGCATGGTGGCTCACGCCTGTAATCCCAGCACTTTAGGAGGCCGAGGCGGGTGGATCATGAGGTCAGGAGACCAGTGTGGCCAAGGTGGTGAAACCTCATCTACTAAAAATACAAAAATTAGCTGGGCATGGTGGTGAGCGCCTGTAATCCCAGCTACTTGGGAGTCTGAGGCAGAGAATTGCTTGAACCCGGGAGATGGAGGTTGCAGTGAGCCGAGGTCGTGCCATTGCACTCCAGCCTGGGTGACCATCAAAAAAAAAAAAAAAAAAATATATATATGTGTGTATATATAAAAATATATATAAATATATGTATATTTGTATATACATATATATATATAATATGTATATATTTAGTGGGGTCTAATAATTTCCAAGTGGTGATGAGTATTATCACTATTTGGAGGTATCTGCAACCAAAGATCATGTGATAGGAAAATAAATATCTGTGATTTCTACTGGTGACAAAATGAACAGATATTGCTAATATAATACTATTGTGGTGTGTTGGCTGAATTCACAGTAAAAGGAAATGCTAAATTTCAGTTGGAGGTTAAAGATGTAGTTTGTTTTTCTCATCTGAGTTTAAAGACACCCTGAATTCTGTATATAAACCCTTGGAGTGTCTGTGAGCCTCAGCTTAAGAACCACTGCTAGAAGAGAGTTTCTCTTTCTGGAAGCTCAAGAAATGTATTCTTGTGTCTCATTGACTTTGGGTTATGTTGTGATTTCTGAATCAATGATTAAAGCAAGAGAAATAGGTTTTGCTAATTAGTTGAGCGAGCCTGGGCCTACCTCTGGAGCTGGGGGTCATTCCCTCCTAAGTAGCATCATGGGAGAGGAAGTGGATTTCCAAGGGAAAATCGAGAAGCAGTGGATGGCAGGATCTGGAAGATTTGCTAAGTGCCCCTCCCCTTCAAAAAAAATAAAGAGCCAGTAAATACTGAGTAGCAAATAGCATTATGTCCATCCTCTCCCTTTACTTCCATGGTCAACCAGTCATTAAGTTTTAGTGAAACTTTCATTTGCGTTTGCCTTTTTTTGTTTAGTCTCTTTGATAATATCTGAAACCTCCAGTGTGGTAGTGTGTGGATTAGTCCATTGGATTGTGGAAAGAAAAATATTGAAACTTCTGTTTGTTCTTCTCATCCTACTAGTATTTATGTGCATTTTATATGTATGTAAAATATATTAGTACATGATATATATACATGTACTACTGTATATATATCATGTACAGTGGTATGTAGATATATACACATGTATATATATATATCATGTACAGTGATACATGTATATATATCACATTTCATATTTGTGGGTACATGTTAAAAATGTTTTAAAAAATAGAGATGGGAGAATTAGAAAAGTTGAGATAACTATGTAGAGCAGTGCTGTTGAGTAGAAATAGCCCTCTATCTGTGAGTTTAGCATCCATGGATCCAAACAACCTCAGATGGAAAATACTTGAGGAAAAGAAATTATATCTGTATTGAACGTGTACAGATATTTTTTCTTGTCATGGCAGTACAGCGTAACTCTTTACCTAGCATTTACATTGTATTAGGTATTTTAAGTAATCTAGAGTTTATTTAAAGTATGCGGTAGAATGTGCATAGGTTATATGCAAATACTACACTATTTTATATCAGGAACTTGAGCATCCACGGAGTTTGGTGTCCATGGGAGGTCCTGGAACCAATCCCGCATGGATACTGAGGGATGAGTATAATATGAACCTTGTATGTTGTAATTTAACATTTTCTAGTTAGCCACATTAAAAAAGAAAAAAAGAAACAGATGAAAAATATTTTAAAAATATGTTAACCCAATATATCCAAAACATGATTTCACATTGTAATCAATATAAAAATTACTGAAATAGTTTAGTCTTTTTTTTCATATAACATCTTTGAAATCTGGTGTGCATTTTACACTTAAAGCATATCCCTCTGGGCATGATAGCCCATGCCTGTAGTCCTAGCTGCTTGGGAGGCTGAGGCAGGAGAATCTTTGAACACAGGAGTTTGAGGTGATGGTGAGCAATGGTTTTGCCACTGAACTGCAGCCTGGATGACAGAGCGAGACCCACCTCCTTAAAAAAAAAAAACAAAAAAACACATCTCAGTTCAGACTACTACTATTTCAGCTGCCAAAGGCAACATGTGGCTAGTGGCTGCTGTATTGGATAGCACAGATCTAGACCAATGATCATTGTGAATTTAGATTTCTGTAATTGTGTCTGTGATGGTTTTTTATAGTTCTATGTTTGCCCCCCTTCAGTCTTATACACAGTTGGCAGGTTAGTTGGACAAAAATTCCAGTGGGATGATGATATTACTCTCCAAATGAAAACCTGCCTAGGTTTAGACATCATAAGATAGGCCCACCCTTCCTCTCCATTTTCTGGGACTCCCTGCCATAAACCTGGTATTCAGGCAGTTTCCTCAGCCTTGCTTTCTCCTTTCATTTCTCCAAATATAACATCTGTTTTGGGAAGTCTGTTCCCGTAAAACCTTGTTGGACTCACCAATCCCTCTGTAACATCCTTACCATTTCCCACATTCCTATGGTGTGTATATTGAGTACTTAGCCACTCAGCATGTTGGCATTTCATTGTATGCTGTTGCCTGTTGCTCTTTGTTTCACACGCAATGAGCCTTATCTCCCCTAATAAATTCTAAGCTTCATATATTATCCCTGAATTATAGGCACATATCGAAGACTTGGCTTTTCCTTATCTTTAGAAAGGACATAGCTGGGCTATGTAAATTTGTAGCTTTATGTTTTTTTGAAATTAATTGTTTACTCCAAAAAGTTTCATTTTTAAATTTAACTTTTTTTGAATTTAAATTTTTATTTTATTTTATTTATTTTAGTTGAGTTGAGTTGAGTTGAGTTTAGTTTAGTTTAGTTTAGGTTTTTGAAACAGAGTCTTATTCTGTTACCAGGCCAGAGTGCAGTGGTTCGATCTCGGCTCACTGCAGTCTCTGCCTCCTGGGTTCAAGAGATTCCACTGGCTCAGCCTCCCGAGTAGCTGGGACTACAGGCGTGTGCCACCATGCCCGGCTAATTTTTTGTACTTTAGTAGAGAGAGGGTTTCTCCATGTTGGCCAGGATGGTCTTGATCTCCTCGGCCTCCCAAAGTGCTGGGATTACAGGCGTGAGCCACTGCACCTGGCCAAATTTAGCTTTTTGACTGTGTACTTTCAACAGTTTCACAATGATTTTCTGCTTCTTGATAAGGAAGGCACCCTTGATCCTGTCATGGACTCATTTAGCACACATCGGACCACGATAGGCCCTGCTGACATGTTTTTTTCCTTGTAGACAACCTTATAAGAACTTTAAATCTCAGAGCACAAACGCTTCGAAGTCTGGCTGGGCACATGCCATATGCCGATTTTGTGTCTTTCTCAACCTTCTTGGTGGGTAGACAGTTCTATTGCCAGGGCCTTGGGTCGCCCTATTTCTGTTGAAGGCTGTATTGTAGGAAAGCTGATGATTGTATGTCATACACTGGACCATGTCTCTAGACAATGAGTGACTCTAGACAATGTCCCCGGAAAAAAAAGCAGTTGCTGTGTTTTGTACTCTGCTTGTTTACTTAGACGCTTTTTAGCAGATTCATTTGTAGGAGTTGGTGTTCATTTGCTTTATGACAATTAAAAAGATTTTGTTTATAGAATAGTTTATTTGAAACTGTAGAATCATTCTTGGAACTACAGAATAGGGAATTATTGATTAGCTGGAGTTTCTGAAGATGAAATTTGAGTTTCATAAGGTAGTCTCCGAGGACACTTTTTCTTTATTGTCCAGAAACCAGAGGCAAACTTGCTTCCAAAGTAGGGCAAGAGGTTTTATTTCAAGTTCAGTCATCAGGATTATTCTCTGGAGGTTGTCAGTACTTTTTACAAACTCCAGTCACTTTAACCCTAGGGAATAGGTTTCTCTTGTTCAGACTGTCTTCTTTCTTGGATGAAGAGCTCTACCATCATCACTATATTTTAGCTCATTTGTGGAACAAAGGACTATCGAAATATTTCCTGAAAATAAGTCCAGAGAGGGCCTTAGAGCTTTATGCTTTAAGGAATCGTCTTTCATTTAACATTTTCTTTGCTGTATTTTGCTTAACATAGGCTATGATTAGATTGATAAAAAGCTAAAAAAATACACCAACATTTTTAACTTGTGGAATTTCACAGCCGATTTATTACAGCATATTTTATATGCCAGGTATTAAGCACATTAGTTAATTTCTGTCACTTTTTCTTTTAGCATAATTTTACAGATATATTATTTATATTCTTTGGCAAATAGTCTTTAAGAATTTATTTATTTATTTATTTATTTATTTATTTATTTATTTATTTTTGAGGCAGAGTCTCGCTCTGTCGCCCAGGTTGGAGTGCAGTGGTGCGATCTTGGCTCACTATAACCTCTACCCCCTGGGTTCAAGCGATTCTCCTGCCTCGGTCTCTTGAGTAGCTGGGATTACAGGCGCCTGCCACCACGCCTGACTAATGTATTTTTAGTAGAGATGGGGTTTCACCATGTTGGTTAGGCTGGTCTTGAATTCCTAACCTCGTGATCTGCCTGCCTTGGCCTCCCAAAGTGCTGGGATTACAGGTGCGTGAGCCACTGCGCCCGGCGAAGAATTTGTTCTTTTTATTTAACACTTTGTGTTTTCCCCCCTTTAGGTAAATATAATAAAATTGGTTATTAAAGTCCAAAAAAATTAACTTTACTAGAGAGTTCACATTTTTGTTTTATTAGCTGGTAGGAAGTTACAACTTTTCCTAAAATTAAAATGTAACTTTACATTCTAAGTGTGTGTGGTTTTTTTTTTTAGAGATAGGGTCTCATTCTTTTGCCCAGACTGGAGTGCAGTGGCACAGTCATAGCTTACTGCAGCCTCAGACTCCTGGGCTCAAGCAGTCCTCTTGCTTTAGCCTCTCGAGTAGCTAGGACTTACAAGCGTGCACCACCATGCCTAGTGCTAATTGCATATATTTTTAAGACTGTAGGGTATACAATTTTTTTACACTTAAAAATTACAGTATATGGGTTGGGCGTGGTGGCTCACGCTTGCAATCCCAGCACTTTGGGAGGTCGACAGGGGTAGATCACCTGAGGTCAGGAGTTTGAGACCAGCCTGACCAACATGGTGAAACCCCGTCTCTACTAAAAATACAAAATTAGCCGGGTGTGGTGGTGCATGCCGGTAATCCCAGCTACTCGGGATGCTAAGGCAGGAGAATCTCTTGAACTCGGGGTGGAGGTTGCAGTGAGCTGAGATTGTGCCATTGCACTCCAGCCTGGGCAACAAGAGTGAAACTCCATCTCAAAAAAAAAAAAAAAAAGCAAATGATTTATTTTCTTCTCTTTTTATTTGATTCAGGGACCTAGCCTCTGGATTTCGAGTGGTTGTGGTTACCTAAAATGTTGTTTATGTTACTTTTTGTTTGTTTGTTTGAGACAGGTTCTCTGTCACCCAGGCTAGAGTGTAGTGGTGCATTCTCAGCTCACTGCACTTCAACCACCCAGGCTCAAGCAGTCTTTCCACCTCATCCTCCTGAGTAGCTGGGACTACAGGCATGTGCCACCATGTCCAGCTAATTTTTGTATCTTTTGTAGAGATAGGGTTTCACGCCGTTGCCCAGACTGGTCTTGAACTCCTGGGCTCAAGTGATCCTCCCGTCTCAGCCTCCCAAAGTGCTGAGATTACGGGCTTGAGCACCATATCTGGCCTCACCTTGGTTCTTATTGCAGTTGTCTTGTTTTATTTTGTTAATCTTTACCATGTTTACCTTGCTTTTAATGGTCCTATTTCAAAATGCAGAGAACATTCTTTCTGGCCAAATGAGGTTAAAAAAAAAAAATTGCAAAGATGAGAGTTGTAAAGCTTCTTTTAAGAATTGTTCCGGCTGGGTGCAGTGGCTCACACCTGTAATCCCAGCACTTTGGGAGGTCAAGGTGGGCGGATCATGTGAGTTTGGGAGTTTGAGACCAGCCTGACCAACATGGAGAAACCCCGACTCTACTAAAAATACAAAATTAGCCAGGCGTGGTGGCGCATGCCTGGAATCCCAGCTACTTGGGCTGATTCAGGAGAATTGCTTGAACCCAGGAGGCAGAGGTTGCGGTGAGCTGTGATTGTGCCATTGCACGCCACCCTGGGCAACAAGAGTGAAACTCCATCTCAAAAGAAAAAAAAATAATTGTTCCTTCTCCCAGGAGTTTAGGTACAGCAGGTTACCTAAGGAGGGGTGAAGGGAGGTCTCTAGGTAGGAAACGGAGCGGGTCAAAACTCCCATGCTGATCAGTAGTGGGATTGTGCCTGTGAATAACCACTGCTGTCCAGCATTGGCAACATAGTGAGACCTTATCTCTTAAAAAAAAAAAAAATTCCTTTATGAACATTTCATGGGATTTATGCCATCACCTTTTAAGGGACATAACAAGAAGGAGTACATGCCTCTTTAAAAGATAACAGTTTTAGCAATTAAAATCTTCCTGCCAGCTCATTTGTTGGTCTACTTAAACATTCCAGTTTTATTTCATTAAAGGTCTTTTCAGGTGTTTCAAGTTTTCCTTTAAGCGAACACTTGTTGAACTGAACACTTGTTCATGTTTCTCATGTTTAATGGCTGTGATTTAAATACATGTTGGTGTTACCGAAGTCATAATCCAGTGAGAATTCCTGTTAAAAGTGTTAAGATTTTGGACTCTTGCATAAGTTCAGTCTTGCATAAGTCAGATGTTCAGTCAAAATTGGTTAGAATTGAATTTGAGTAACGCCTGTGCTTGTATTTATATTGCTTATTTAGTATTCATGGATAATACTGTATGAAAATTTGATTAGTTCATTTTTTTCCCTTCCAAATCGATAACTTAGAAAATTAATCTCTACCTCTTTCCCTTCCCAATTTGTAAAAAATGAGTGTAATTTCCCATCTTTCTACTTTTAAAGGATGTTAGACTTCTTGGTTTGTTAAAGTAACAGTGATATTCTTGAAGATTCAACGTGAATTCAATTTAGTGTTCTTGGCAGACACAAACTTAGTTTTTTTCCCTTTGGAAGAAAACCGTATCAAGCCTTCATTAATGAACCTCGGTGTAATTTTTGGCCTTCTTCAAGACATTTGTCATTTGCATTGTATGGCTGTAGTGTAGATATCTTGAAATAATGCTTAATTTTATTTCCTTTTGCGTTGTATTTGTTTTTAAACTCTTGTTCAGTTTACTTACCAAATATTAATAGTGTGCCTACTTTGAGTCTTCTACATTTGAATATTCCTTTAGTCTATGTTGCTGAAATTCTGCTTTATAGAATAATACACATAACTGTATTGGAAAGTGTAGTCTTTGCCGTCAGGAGCATTTACTCTGATAGGGTTAATGATTGTAAGCCCCTCATGAAATTTCCACACTAGTTACTAAGGATTTTTAAAGGATAAGTGATTTTGTTTGTTCCAACCCTGTTCAAAACAATTTGATGTTTGTACTACATGTTGAATATCTCTTATCTTACATGCTTGGGACCAGAAGTGGTTTGGATTTTGGATTTTTTTTTTGGAATTTGGAATATTCACATATACACAATGAGATATCTTGGAGATGGGAACCATGTTGAAACAATTCATTTATGTTTCATTTACCTTTTTTTTTTTTTTTTTTTGAGATAGTGTCTCGCTCTGTCGCCCAGGCTGAAGTGCAGTGGCTTGATCTTGGCTCACTGCAACCTCCGCCTCCGGGGTTCAAGCGGTTCTCCTGTCTCAGCCTCCCAAGTAGCTGAGATTACAGGTGTGTCATCACACCTGGCTAGTTTTTGTATTTTTAGTAGAGATGGGGTTTCACCATGTTGGCCAGGCTGGTCTCGAACTCCTGACCTCAGGTGATCCACCTCTTTCCCAAAGTCCTGGGCTTACAGGCATGAGCCACTGTACCCAGCATCATTTACATCTTATACACATAGCCTGAAGGTAGTTTTATACAACATTTTAAATAATTTTGTTCAGGAAACAAAGTTTGTGTACATTGAACTTTTAGCAAAGGTGTCACAATCTTAGTCACTTATGTGCGTAGTCGGTAGTTATTTGGCATCACCATCACACTCAACTGAATTTATATGCTACTGATAAGCAGTCATTTTCTTTTACTTATTCACACGTAAGTATAAGAAAAAAGTAAAAAATAACAGTAAAAAGTATGACATACCATTAATATAGTGGAATAATAATGTGTTCAGGGTAAGCACAATAGCATCACCAGAATATCTGTAGCTGCTGTTAAGCAACAGCATCAGCAAATAAGGTTAGGCTTTCAGTCTCCACCTATGATGTTATTTTTTGATTAAAAGGTTTCTGGACATTTTTTGTTTGTTTGTTTGTTTTATTAAGGCCGGAAGAAACATCAGAATCAATTG